AGATCTTTTGACTTCAGCCCTGCCTATCAATCCACTTCGGTTTTGGATACTCCCCCTCCGCGAGTCCCTATTCGCTTTTCTTCTCATTTCCATTTCCAGTATCTTGACCGTAATCTTGAATTTGAGCTTCGCTTACTTCAGAGCACAGACACTCTCGCTAGCACTTGATCTTCCCTCCCTCGTCAAGCATATCCACTTTTTTCCCGGTCTCCGCCCATCAAAGAATTTTGGCTAGCTCCGCCCACATGCGTGCACACCCCGCCCACTTATAGAAATTGTCCTTCTATCGCTCTTGATGTTCCTTCTTATACACTCCGGCTTCCGGCTCCTTCGCCTCTTCGATACCCAAATGTTACGATTTGTAGAAAACACGTCCACCTAGGGGCTTCCTCCGCCCACTGTGACGACCCTACTCTTTCGTCAAGTGCGGACCTTTTAAACCATGCTCTTCTACACCAAATTTCCTCTGCTCTGTAGGCTTTCTCTTAAAGGCAGTGATAAGTTAAACAAGGTGAGGAGACGTGGTGGTGCTCAATGGTACGCAAGTGGCGAAAAAGCGGAGAAATCCGTCAAAAAAACGCAAAACGGGACCCTTTTTTGGCCGTTGGTTTTCACTCATGAACAGGTAACAGCTCAGAAAGCGGACGTATGAACGAGTTCAGCGCAACGCGTTTGGTGACACCATGCCAAACCACGCTCCAATCGAGTTGCTCCAGTTGTGCCGCTGCTGGCAACGCAGCTCGTCCAAATCACCAAACTAAACTAGTGGGCGGATCGCTTTTGGGGCGGAGTGCTTTCGAAGTCCTGCTCAGCAACCAGCGCACCTTTCGTCGTGAAAGCTACACCTCGCTTCCCTGGCAGCCAAGTAACTGATTCGTGTGGTGCATATGCTTCCCGATGCGCTCCCACTTTATCGTAATCGCTGCCTTTAACCGCGTTGTGAATTTTTTTATTAGGCACCGCCCATGTATGTAGAGAACGCTCTGCACGCGTGGGAAATTCGAAATAGTGACTCCGTGTACAACATTACCAATTTTTCCGGCTTTCGGGCTGTTCTTGAAGCGAACTCAGAAATCGCCACCGGCACACACGGCGGGCGGAGAACCGCTCAGCGATATGGTTTGTACTTCATCACCCATGTCCTACCCATCCAAAACTTAACGAAACCTCTCCAGGTGGTTATCAGGTAAATCGAATTTTTTGACACATGGACAAACGGACACACATAAACAGATCTAGCGCTTTCAATGGGGGCACAGTACAGTCTGATTGCCAGCCATTTTAGGTAGAAGTGCTGGCTAACGGACGCCCTGCTTCCTATTTCGACTATTTCGATGGGCCACCAGAACTCGATTTCACCTACCATGACGGCCAAACCAATAGAAAATGCAATCCATCAGTCGAATGCTGTCTCGTGAAGCATTACGTGAACTTCACCGAAATCGGTTGAGTCCTTTACCCTTAGCTTTTCTATTTACCCACCATTACTCAGCAATCGAGTTTCAGGGATGGGACAAATTTATTCAATACCCAGTTGGTTTCTATGCTAATTATTGCATAGGGCCTCCCCACCTGAAGTGCCCACATGAAAATCCAGAAGTTGAATACATACTCAGGTATGTGGGTCCGTTCAAAACTGCTAAGATATGTTTCTTATATCACTTAATCATCACGCATTATGGAACACTGGTAATTCTCGTCGGAATGCATGGTTCAAGAAATTGCGTTTCCACATAATCCAGTCAGCTGACCTTCTTGGTAATTACGGACCACTTGAACTTTCGGAAAAAGGGAGGGAAATGTGGGAGAGGGGGACTCCATGGGGGGGGGGGTGGCTGGAGATAAGCGGAAGCCAGGGTCAACATTTAATTGGGCTTTCCTGTTCAGAAGGGCTGCATTTGTAACTTTCGGATGGGAGTTGCACCCATCTTTTATTAAAGGCTGCGGTAAGAGTTTATAGTGAAATTGATAGAAATGTGCAGACTTAACTGGATTGGGAACTGGACACATTCCCTCATTTCAACTCTGATGACACCAATTTATGAGGATGAGAGCAAAGTTGGAGTGTGTCAGGAGATGGCAGGTCCAAAGACACCTTTGGCACTATTGACTGTAAGAGAATGTCGTATTTGGAGAATTCCAAAGGGGAATTGGGATGTGCAAAAAACAGTTGAGCCGTGGCCGATGAGCTCCTACTGGCACGCTGTTCACGGACTACTTGAACTTTCTTCCATGGTCCTGCCACGAATGGCGGAGAGCACAGACGATTAGAGAACGGCGCCTGGCTCGGCTCCAAATCCCAAGAAGGAGGTGAGAGCCCTAGGACTAAGCCTTGTAGGGGGAGGGACTCCGAGGTGGGTGAGCCAACTACAGTGTGGCAAAAGTTTGAATGTGTGATCACAGCGGCCAAAAGCCTTGATAAAGCGAGAGAGCACAGACGAGAGCATCGAAGTGAGGCGGCTCAAAGGCAAGCCCCGGGATAAAACCGGTGATAAGAGCGCTTCGTAATGATGACTGAGCTGCGGGACGGCCTGAAAGTGGAAAGGAAAGCTAGAGAAATCTTTGGGATCGCTGAAATTAAGGCCTTAACCTTCAAAAAGGTCGGATGTGGAACGATGGCGAGGCAGGGCGGTCAAAGAAGACAAAACACGCGAGAGATCACGCCGTTCGAGAGAGCACGCCGATATCGAGGTGGGTGGGAAGCGTTGCAACGGGGTCGATGGTTGCAGGCCCGTAAGGATTAGCGCCCTAACCGCGCAACTTTTGCGGCGAAGCTGGAGTGATCTAGGTAGGTAGGGACCTTACAATTTCCTCGCGGTATCCTTCCTACATGTCGGGCTAATCCAGGGTTTGCCTTTAAGGGACCGAGTTCAAGTAGTCCGCCGACCACTGGAACCCCCACGACAGACAGCGCATGGACATATCACCGGAGCCCAATGTATACCCTTACGGCGGGCTAGATTGCTAGTGCAAGCCAATTCTGGTTGAAGTGGGAGCCGGCGTTCATACTATCGCTAACAGTCGTTGTAATCAGGAATCACAGTGGATCATCTGCGCTTAGCTCTAGAAATAGTAGGAGTGAAACCGGAAAAAATAAAGAACAAAACGAGCTCGCATCCCCAAAGTCCAAACATTGACTTGAGCGATTCGAAAAACTTGAACAAATGAAACTTTCTCGCGTCTCGTGCTCCATTTGAATACCCAATACCTTCGTGGAACAAGAAAGGGAGAAAAGCGATTTCGATTTCATCAAGTCTCAAGCGAGTTGTTAGGCGAAATACTGACATTTAAGCACGGCACGGACTCAATCGGAGCTGCCACTGAAGCCGTTCGCCTGTGCTCCACGCAGCTTCGCACCACTTCGGATTCTCTACACGGTTGGACCAAATCACTCGATGAGTCTTCTTCTGCATGACATGATCGCTCTCTCATGCTCATGTATCTCTTAACTGGAGCTTTTCTATTTAAACCTCGATGCGAAAACAAATGGTAGTTGCAGATAAGAATATTTGGATGTTTCGTGTTGTTTCAGGGGAGGGTTAGTGTGCCGAGGGATGAAAATGGAATTGAATGGAGCCACTTAATTGTGCTCTGCACATCCTATGCTAATTTTGCCTCCATATTTACGAATAAGAGATATAATTGACAACAACTAAGATCGCACTTCATAGGAAATACTTCGTGACAAGGTCTGGTGAATTGTAATAGGGCCTGAAAATTTGATCCACATACCAGTAGGTGCACATGTGCAGTGATTAACCCTCCAATTGCGGAGCAGTGCGTGTATCCCTATCCTTAGCGTACGAGATGCGGATCACAATCAAGCGGCTCCCTCCAACTCCATTTTCACCAGGCCGGCTAATGGTACATGTTTTTTTAATTTACGGAGCATAATTACACTCAAACCTTTATGTTTGTTCCCGGCTCCATTAGGTCGTGTTCATAGTCCATCGTCAGCCAGCGGCATCGTGATTCGCGTCGTGATTGAGTGGCGCTATCCACATTCGTTTTGCTAGCCGGCTCTGAGCTGGCCAGTTGCCGTGGCGTGGTCTTGAGGTCATTTCGCTGTATTTGCCGTAACTGCGCTTTAGAGGAATGAAGTCAGGGGTGAATGAATGGAAAAATTGTTTTAAATTGAGCGACCCTCAAAAAAGTTCCCATAGGAGCCCCTGCCTTAATGAATAAAATTTGAACCATCATGTGTTGAAGCGGGTAGATGAGGAGACCCCTCGCGCAGTGAGAAGACAGAGATACAGACCCGTCGGTGGACTAGTCGCAGCGCGTTTTGCCTTGTGAGGAGGACATCAGATTATAAGCTCATGACGCCTATATTTGAAAGGTGTGCAGCCGTATTTTAGGGGATTACACAAGAGACAGGGCGGTGTATATTTATTACTTATTAGGAATAGAAGGGATAAGGGTGAGAAAGGGGGAAGAGGGCGTGAGTACCAGCTGATGTGGCTGGCTGTCCGCTCGCTGGTGACCTCTTCTTAAGTACTGTCCTCCGTGTGAGGTTGGACCGATGGCAGTTGCTCGGATACCGTAATCCTGAGTACGCCTTTCAATCGAAGTCACGGACCCGACAAGGACCTATAACACGTTATATTCAAATTGACGATAAGTCGCTACTGTACGCGCTGCAACTCGTCCGCTGACCCATCTGCAGCTCTTTATTCTCGACGGGCCTCCTGTAGGTAACTTATTGAGAAGGTCTGCTTTGACATACTTCGAAGCACAGCCCCTAAAGCTCCAAAAGTGCTTGCCCCCAACTCCAATTGGTAGCCTTTTGCTCCAATACGCTCGCCTAACTAGGAACAAATGCGATCTTCTTGTTTGAAGAAGAATCCCAACGATCTGTTCACTGGACAATTGTTAATATGAGTTTTTCACTGAACATCTGGTATCGTTCACGTTGCGGATCAAATTCAACATTATTGGGATCGCCGTGCATAAAAAACGAATGCGAACACCGCAGCCTAATCATCCCAAGAAACGGAACCGGTCTGACTCAGGAAATGTGTGGTCTCGCGCTAGCGAGTCGCAAAGTATGAACACGACCTTGCTGTGACAGTAGCATGTAGGTTTTCATTTCTAATATTGATTGCTGTACAAAGAATATTTGTACACTGGGAAAACCGAATTAGGCTCGTTTGAAGCCACAGTGGATGAATTGCTAATATTCCACAGGGGATTTTTTGGGGTTGTTGTGTTGGCTTCGAATCTTGCAATTCTTCTCTATTTCTGAAAGATTACTACATAACAAAACTACATGTAGCGCATCGAATAAATATTATTTTTTTTCTTTGTTTTGTTTGTTAACTGCTGTTTTAACGCCGCA